TTACCAAATATATCAATTAGTAGGCGGTGTCCTGGCAAAATTTGTATCATCACGTATTAGTCAAAACATATTCTTTCACACGATTGGTAATGAGAGCTTCCGTTTCATTTTTTTGAGAGGGGGGGGGGCGTTTCCAAAACTATTACCTTTAAGCTAATACGATAAAAACATGCAGCATGTTTACAATATCACTGGTAATGGAACTCTTGAAGCCAAGTTCAAGGAATTTGAGTTTTCTTTTCTCATCAAACTGGAAGACCTACATTATAATTCAAGATGGCGGCCCGCATGTTTTGCCTCTGCTCTTAGACCAATATTATTAATTTCAAAGTCATGAAAAGGCACTAAATATCAACAAACATGGTCTACAACAACTCTAAATGACAAAATAATCCCAGCCATGAACTTTTTTGGAGCATTTGATAGCCAAAAACTTGAACATTTTCGTCATTAAAAAAAAAAAGAAAACCTACATTATAATCCAAGATGGCGGCCCGCATGTTTTGCCTCTGCTCTTAGACCAATATTATTAATTTCAAAGTCATGAAAAGGCACTAAATATCAACAATCAGGGTCTACAACAACTCCAAATGACAAAATAATCCCAGCCAAAAACTTGAAAATTTTCGTCATTAAAAAATTTTTTTTAAAAAATGGCCGATTTTTTTCTGATCATTTCAATTGATCGGCGATCGGAAATTATTCCCCGGTTACCCCCCGATCGGATCGGTATCAGCGGCCGATCCGATGATCGTTTACAGGGTTATTTCAAACCAACCTTCATAAAAATAATAATAATAATAATAATTGTGTTAACTGTCACTGAAGTTGTGTAGAGTGCAGTGAGAGCAGTGCAGACCGCGACCGATAGCACATTGATCTTTGTCAATCGCATATATATGACGTCATCCATGGTATAGTTTGCACTATACCATTGATGACGTCAGGGTTACATCATAGCAATGTTATGTTTGGTCACATGATGCTATGTTGACCAATCACTGAACAGGATTTCCTTGATCAAAAATATAATACTCACTATCATAACATGTCAATATCACTTCTATTTCCTTTTCTTTTTCAAATTGGGGTGGGAACCAGTCCAAGATTTTAGATGGTGAAATTATTGAGATTTTTTTCTTCTAAGTAACTTAAAGCCCATCTGCACTAGATTAGCCAGGAGGGATCAGACCTCCCTGCAAGGTCACTGACAGGTGGTTATCTCATCAAATCAGCTCTCAATTAACATAAGAAAAAGGGGACAGTGGGGGACCAATGGTCACCGAGTAGGCATTGTTTGCTATATAAAGGGCGCAAGTAGCTCTAAGTAGTGCAGTGGGGCTTTAACCCCTTACTACATGTGACATGAGAGGTCTTTTGTGAATCAATTTACGGCAATTGTAGCTTCCTGGGTTAGTAGACGAATCATTGCAAAATAATTAGTCCTGTCACAGTAAAGTATACTTTGTACTGATTCACAGGATGAAATGAAGGCCAAGTTGCAAGGGAACATCATCGATCTTAATAGCAAGAGATATAGCATTTCTGCTGCTGGTATTGCTATTGGCTGATCAGGCTCATGGTCTCCTCACTCTGCCAGCAATATCAGCAAAGGAGCGAGATCGTTAGCTCAAAAAGTTTGCATATCAATCGATCAATGTGATAGAGGTATCTCATTGAAGGAATTGTATGGAAACAAGATCATGCTGCAGTGTAGATAGCAAATATTTTTCAAAGAAGTTACCGTAATTAACGGTGTATAAACCGCACCTTTTTGCCGCCGAAAAAAATTCAAAGTCGGGGGTCCGGTTTATACACGGTACACCCAAAAAAAAAAAAAAATGATTTTTTAATTTTTTTTTTAAAGTTTCGATTTATGCCCCTCTACCTGGCGCTATGCCTGGCAATGTCTCCCAGCTCAGTAATCGGTGTGTTCACTCACCACTCGGAAACTAGAACAACACTCAAATTTGTATGTCATCTTGGTTTGAAAGTAATCTTTCTGAATGATTTCAATATGTAGTTGATGATAATAATTCCTCCAATTTTTCTTCTATTACACGGCATACCACAAGGTTCTATTCTAGGTCCTCTACTGTTTTAAGTCGGCAAAAAAAAAGTCGGCAAAAAAAAAAAAAAAACGTTAATTACGGTAGGGAATTCTTTGGATGTAAACCCGCTCCCTTTTGGCCTGAGTCCTTACTCTACTCCAAGGTCAAAACTGACTATTGGGCCAGCTCAAAATCAACACGGTCCATATTTAGCGACAGTTCATGTCATGTTCATGTCATGATTAAATTTTCAATGTGATACAGGTATCAGACTTTTTCGTATAGTCATAGAAGATAAAGTAAGGCCGAAGACCTTTTGTTTTGGGTTTGGCCTTGGCCTTCACCTTCAGTGCGGGCTTGATGACCCAGGGAAAAAAATAATATTTATTTTTTGGGGGTTACTTTTCAAGCTTGCCTGCATAAAAATAACATTCTAAAAAAAAGTTTGCATTGAACTCTACATGTATGCAAATTTACGGGGGCTCTTTTCTGATTTTTGGGGGCTCTTTGGGGCATTTCGGGGGCAAATTCGCCCTAAGCCCCCGTGTATTTTTTTCACTGTGATGACCTCATCAGAAGCATGGCATTGAATGGCCCTTGCCACAGGGGAAAGCAATATTTCAGGTTATATTATTATTATTATGGGTTTAAAAGCAAGGCACCATAGAAGTTGGACCAAAAGCTTCAGTCTCTCTATATCGTTGATTGTTCCACTGAGACTACGTCTGGCTCCACTAGACCTCCTTATATAGAGACTGAATGATCGCCTATTCCATCGTACGTGGAAGATAAAGTCTACGGGTATACGATAAGACGATACTGCCCCGACTCTAAGTTTAATCCTTTTTTGTCATAATCGCAGGCACAAACAACTACAATTGGTATTTCAAATGATTACAAACATGATAAACATTCATAAAATATGAACCTTGGACCTCTGCATATGAAAAATTCTTCAAAAAAGTGTTATTATCTCTTCCACTTGACTGTCCTCAGACTGTGACTATCGTCAGCCATCTTGAATCAAAGTAATGAATATTCATGACAAAGTTTTTGAGTCTCCACCCATTGACCTCACTCATAGACGTGCGTGTTTGAGTTCTTCCGTTGTCTGCTTCACGTTTGTGCGCGCGCTATCCTCGACGCGATGCACTAAGGTGATCCATCCTCATATCGTATTTGAATAATAATAATAATAACAATAGCTAGTTCTTATGCACTTTTCAGGACCGAAGGCCCTCTCAAAGCACTTTACAGAAATATTATTACCCCGGTCATCTGATTCAGGCTTACCGGCACACAATGTATGCACATTCTCCACTCCCTGGGGAGCATTCCAGCCAGGCGCCTTTTTTACAAGCGCACACTTGCTAATCTAAGCACATTAGCTTTTGCATCCTACCAGGTACCCATTTAACACCTGGGTGGAGAGTGGCAAATGTAGATCAATGTCTTGCCAAAGGACATTAGTGCCGCGAACCTTGTGATCCTCAGTCCGGTGACATATCCACTGGTCCATGACACCTCTACCGGAATATTCATAAGCCGCCATTTTGATTTCTGTCGGTCAGAATGCTTGCCGTGGATCATCGAGAAGCAGCCAAAAGCTTGGTAAGTCCTTTTATTTCATTTTTCAATTATGTGGGGGGGGGGGAAGGGTAGGGTACAAAAGGAACTCTTACCGACTTACGAAACAGTCATATCTAGAAAATTACTGCAATTGAGGAGAAATTATGCATTTCTCCTCAAGTTTGTCATGTCTCTGGGAGGGGCCTACAACTAAAATCTAGACGTGATATCTTCCCCACACAGCCTATACTACGGTTATACCGTCTGTGTATGGGGAATGTCGACAAATGTCAGTTTTATTAAAGAATGACCCATACCAGACAGTTATTTTTGTCTACATAGAAGTGAGCATAGATCTATAGCATTTTTTTTCTTTTCAGGCTAGTGTTCGTCATTCGGCACTAGAGGGCGCACTTGCACATAATCTTTTTTTTCATTCGTAAGGCGTGCTCAATTTTTGGCTGTGAGCTGACTGCATTGGTTTTGACAAGGGTGGATCAATATCATGTTAACGAAACAGTAATGCAGTCAATCGGCAAACTTACGTGCGTACCTATTTCCCACATACTTTGCAGCTTCTTGCAACTGCGATTTTGGTTGCTACCTACTGCTAGAAAGCTGATATTTTATGGATTTTTCCCCTCATTAAGTCGATATTTCTGCTTGTTTTCTCAGAGGCGCCAAGTTCAAAGATCCGCAATGCGCAACATTTTCATTATTCGGCGCGTGCGAGGTTATAACACACATATATTAGGTATAGCGTTTTTTTTAAATTTAACGTGCGCGTCGTGCGTGAGAGCGATTTCAGACCCTCGAAATGCGTGATGTCACGCCTAATGTGTGACACTTGGTACATGTATGTAGCTCTGGTTTTCTCGTGAACTTTGTGATATCTATCATTATGCTTAATCAATATTGCGCATCACCTGGTACTTTGTCGTAGATCTAGTCTCATATTCATAATTTTATTTTTATCAAATTTGAAATGATTTCTGAATTCTAAAACTAAGAAAGTTTTTTCCGCCCCACACACCACAGTTTGCAGAGCAGACCCTATGGTTGGCTTCTGTCTCTAAGAGAGGAGCTAACCCTACCTAAATAAGAGGCTAACGGACGAAAAAGACAACATTTTTGGGCTACATGTATACTGTACCGTCCGAACTGCACTACACTACCAGACTACAGCTATCTACACAGCTACATTGGCACGAATCTGCAGACATCATACAGTCACAGCTTCGGGCACACTGCACAGCTTGTACCGTACCCGCGCCCGCGAGTTAGGCGGACATGATGCCCTGCGATGGCTCTACCACGCATGTAGGTACCTCTCTCAATGGTCTCAATTACCTCATATTTTCACACTTTTCTACTACTTACCGTTTCAAATATTCAGCAAAATCGTTCTCTGATACTCAAGATAATCAATAAAAGTGCTGTTTTTATAAATCCGTAGGCGGTGTCGGAAATAATCAAATGTAGACGGTCGGACGGGAGAGTTAGCCGCACGGATTTTCTTCCTTCTTCCTTGTTGATTTGCAGCCTAAACGTGACGTCATTTGACTGTGGCCACGTGATCAGTAAGGAGCCCGGACAATTTTTTTTCTACACCAAAATTTCTATGCGGTGGGTATTTTAGTATAGATCTAAAGTTACATAATTTGGCGCTATGAATAATTAAACTCTCCTGTGCTTTTTTAATGAAACACACGATGACTAGTACAAAGTTCACATTCTGTTTTCGTTGAACTAGTATTGATAGTTGAACTACTAGCTAACTGTTTTGCCCACCGCCAATAAATGGGGGGGGGGGGGGGGGGGGGGGGGAACTGTTATATTTTTTAAGTCAAGCATGCAGCATACCTAGGGCCTCACATTAATGAAATGCCTCAACGACTTGTGTTTTGTGCCCAGTAAAAATGCACCCGATATTTAAAAAAAATACAGAATCCAACCCAGCTAGCATGATTTTCCCTGCCCTGTGAATTCATAAACAAAAGCAGAAAAACCTTGTTAATATTAGCAGCACTTAGAAAAGAGAGCCAAGTCATTCATTTCCCTACATGCAATTATAAATTCAGAATATTTTATTTTTCACATTAATCAAAACACAAAATGCATGTGATTGCATCTCTAAATCCAATGTGCATCCACCTACATTATATGCTTATCGATCATCTGACCTCATGCACCCAAACTCTTTTCATATGCTCATAGATAATACTTCACCCCTTTTATAAAAAATTATCAGACTTTTATTAAGTTATATCAATGGACCTTTTATGGGATTTCATGAACCTGAGATCTTTCACCTTTAATATCTTAATTACACCAGCTAAATTCTAATCAGGTACATGCATGAACTTAATTGTTTGTTTAATTGCTTCAACGTTTTTACGTTGTTCACTTTAGAATAATCAGCTTCTTGATTTTGGCTGCTCATAAGGAAGAAGAACCATACATTTGCTGTGATTTTTACCACTTTAAAGACACTGTTGCCTTTGACCTTTCACCCCCCCCCCCCCCCAATCATCCTTATATGTTTGTACAGACTTTAAATTTCTTCAATATTTTTCAAGTTACCATAGTAACCACATATTTTTTTTACCTTTACACCCCAAATCTAATTAATTCATCCTATATATTTGAGCGATGTATAGTTTGAATTGCTCCATTATGTTTTCAAGTTATCGCTCTACCATGATATCTTCTGGGTTTTAAACAAAAACAGTTTTAAAATGAAAACAACAAAAACACATGGCACTGATATGAATGGGACATCTTAAATATATAATATATTCAAAACAATTTTTTGACCCTCTAATCTTTGACCTCTTACATCCAAAATCTGCTAATTATTAAGAAAGAAAAGATGCAAAGACAAAGACATGATTTCATTCCTTGTGACCCATTTTTATTACAAAAATAGTGTAAAAATTACATACAAGAAATATATTTGTATACAAAAATGGTATTCTCAAAAATTAACTCAGCAGGTAGCAGATAAGCAGAAGAATTTCCACACATCACAGCATTCTAGTACTGTATCAACTGATTAATCATTTACCCTTAATAATAATGATTATAATTGTAAATTTAGAGTGCCCGAAATTCTTTACAAATTATACAAATGCACTCAAGAGCACATATCCATGTAACAAGGGAAAAAGCATAAACAATTTTTTTAAAAATGACATTAATTCAGCATCTACACTAATAATATATGTTCAATCATATAATATGAAGAAAAGGATTCTCGAACCAGTCTAGGAGTACCGCTCATCCAAAGAAAAATAATTGTTGTATCCCTAGAATGTATAAAATCGACCTAAAATAACTTTACCAGGCATTTTAAAGACTACCATTTACAGAAGTATGAAGAAAACCGAGGAGAACTTAAATTAATCTTGTGCATGGAACTCAAGTCAGACTTGGGTTCCGTGCACATGTTATTCTATTCTTCTATTAGTCTTACTCTCGATTGCAAGTTCTTTGAGAACGTATTTAAACTCATATTATCAATCACAATACAGAAGTTATATATCAAAAGCTAATATTCTGAGTATAGCATAAAGACATGGAACTCCAAACATACAGAGCTAAAGATCTTTCAGTGATTGGTAGAATTTAAGTTATGGTAGGCCTGTTCGACACAATTGGAGCATGAGAAAGAAATGGGGTCTAACTAACAACAAAAACGGCTATGGAAAGGTTTCATAAAACAGTTGAGTTTTCAGAAGACTTTTGAAGATCTTGATTGACGATGAATACCTAATCGAGGGACGGAGGTTGTTCCACCTGAGAATTACCAGAAATCAAGTAAACAAAATTGCAGAATGTTTAACAGCCTTTTAAAAAGACTTTAATCGAACTCAAACATTTCAGGCATGCTATAAAGTAAACAGGAACTTCCTCCAAGAGCACAATCAACATTATACAAATGTAACAACAAAACCACAATAAATGGAATTTACCCAATTGTCCAGATATACAAACACAGATATTTGTCCAACACAGCACATACCAAGAATTTTATCAGCAGGTTGAAAAATGGTGCCTTATATCCTGTTTTTCTGTAAATAACGGATTCAAAATATCAGAATCTAAGCACTTGAAACAGACACAACACCACAGGCTGAATGAACTTAAGCACTTTTCTGAAATCAACAAAGTTAAAGGACTATTGTTTAAAGCTCATACCGGTATACAGTTTTGGGAGCAAAAAGGAAATTGGAATATAGCCTTTAAAGCCACACTGTCCTACTTGTAGCTACTTGCTCCCTCTATATAGAAAAATTCCCCAATAGGTGCCTGTTGGTCCCCCATGATCCTCTATTTCTTATGTTATTTGAGAACTGAGTTAATGAGATAGCCACCTGTCAGTGACCTCGCTATGTGGTCTAATCCCTCCTTGCCAAACTAGTGGAGATAAGCTTTAAGGCAGACTAGTTCAGACTATCCATGACCCAAATCACTGTCCACAAAGAGAGAGAGAAATCATACCTCTATATTCAGTACAGTTCAGTTTTAAGAGGTCTGTTTTCTAAGAACTCTAAAATCATTTTGAGAGACAGCTTAATAAATTTTGGGAAAAAAATAGTAGGGAAGGGAGTAGCGAGTTACTGACTATCAGCCAAATAAAGATCTAGATAGCCTAATATGACAATCTTCTAATACAAATTTCAGAAATAAGGGCAAATGAAATTAGATTTCAGGCAAGTACAAAGTAAATTATATTTTTAAAACCATTGCTAAGACCATCTAAACTTTATTGGATGGAACTTATTCGAAACGATTTTGGCAGTATTTGAATCTTCAAGATAATGACTGCTTCTTAGATAACATATAAACAAATATCAATAAAACACATATTTTCCCCAAGTCCAACCATATATATTTCAATTCTTTCTTCTCTACATGCAGCTCAGCTATCAAGATCTTCTAGAACAATCGCCAAGACCATCTTATATTCATTGGATGGAACTCATTAAAAAGGATTTTGGCAGCATTTTGTATCTTCAAGATAATGACTGCTTCTTGGATACAATACAAATATTTTAATATTAATAAAACACATATATTCCCAAGTCCAGTCGTATATTTCAATTCTTTCTTGCAGCTCCGCCATCGAGGCCTTCTAGAAGATGAGGTTTACTCGTCTCCTGCTGCCTTGGCAAGCTCCTTCTTGCGTCGAGGGTCTTGAAAGCAAACCATACAGAGGGAGCCCTTCTCCCTTGTGGCCATATACCTGTTGTAACAAAGAATGATAGAATACACAAAGTTTAAAAGGGGAAGTTTTAAGAAACAAACAAACTTCGTTTTCAATAACAATTCTATAAGTATCCCGGTATGAAAACTATACATATCATTATAAGTAATGCAGTAATGTCAAAGGTCACCATCCTTACTAGCTTGTTTCCCATCACATTACAGTCAAATGTAGTCAAATGTAGCTTTAAAGCACAATACTACTCAAAGAAAGAAAGATTACCAACAGTCCTTTTTAGGACTCCCCAATCCTCCCCCTCTCTCTCACATGGTGCAACCGTAAACCTACTGTATACTCAAAGAGAAGAGTACAGTTAGTTCTTAAAGATAAAGTTGAGAACGGTTCATGCGATTCCACTGTAAAAGAAACTGCCTCAAAGCAATTACATTGTGAATAAACTTTACCAGAACTCAACCTGCTATGTAATGCTCACTGCTAACTCTCACAGGTTTACTTACGTTGCTCCTTTAGGGATGAGCATACATTCGCCTTCGTTGAGTTCATACTTCTTCACCTTGGCATCTCCAACCCCAACATCTGACTTTCCCTCCTAACAAATACCAGGAATCAATGATACAAACACAGATCTTTAACGTCAGGTACTACTACAAAAGAAAGTTATGAAGTTGTCACCCCCCCCCCCCCTATATTGGCAGTCATTTGGACAACATGGGGAATTAAAAGAATGTTTAAATCTCAGAAGAGGTATACATTATCTTCAAAATATCCACCTCAAGTTTTCTTCTTTTAAGAGATACTACAAGTTATTGTACAGAAATTAAAAATCAAAATGGTCTGAAAATATTTAAAGTTGTTGAAAATGGCGGGTCCTTAAATTCTCAGATTTGCCCCAAAAATTCAAACAAACTATTATTTTTTTAAAACCCGCCCACAAACTACAAACAAACAAGCAAGCAGATAAAATTACTGACTCTGAGGGCCTGAAAAAAAGTTGTTGCCTACTCCATGAACTCATGTCTTATCATTGAAATATAATCCTTTATATTACACCTCCTTCTGGACAGTATCTCTTAGACCAAGACCAAGAACTGGGAATTTCTTAAAGTGTACCAATCATCTCAAAAAATATTTTGCGTATCGCTAGAATGTATACAAATCAACCTAAAAAGTCACCTGTCTTTGTATGTGCTAACGGATATGGAGTAGGTATGAAGAAAATAAAGAATAACATAAAAATGCACACACAGAACCAAAGTCTGAACTGGGTTCCGTGCAAGGAACATTTTATGTGAGTGCGTACAGATGCAAGTAGTCTACTCACAAGTCGTTTTTAGGCTAATGAAGGCTAATTGAGAGTGTATTTAAACTTGCAAAATCTCTTTAATATTGAAGGAGTATTAAAAGTTCATATTTTCAATACAGTGTATCGACATGGAACTACTAACATACAAAACAAAACATTTTTGTGTGATTGGTACACCTTTAAATTTAAGAAATGATATGAAGTCCAAACTTACAAGCTGCCACAGCCAGACCTCTGCCTCCTCACATCCACCTGACTCGGTACCTGCTCCCCACATCACAACCTGACAAGGAAAGGAAGAAAATGTTTAAATATCTTCAAACATCTAGTAAACTCTATAAAAAGCACTACTCGGCTAAGCCCAAATCTTGAAGAAGAAGACTTTTGTGGTCAAGTAGTAAAATCTTATAAATCTGATCAATTGTAGAGCAAGATTCTTAGTTTTCTCTTTTTTTATACACATAGTACTGTAACATTCTGATTTTCTGTTATTAAAACCCATCAAGAATAAGAACATGATTTTTCCTTCAGTATTATCACTAGCCTTTTCATAATACATAATTTTCATCACAATCATTACTAATTTTTTAAACCAAAGACATAGGTTTATTCATAGGTATGTCAAACAGAAATGTATAAAATATCATAACAATGTTCATGGCAATAGCTCATTGGAAGTACATCAAGGAACAAAGAAGGGAAATAGAGTACCGTAAATCTCTGTGTATAAGGCGCACTTTTTTGCCCCCCCCAAAAAATTGAAAGTCGGGGGTGTGTCTTATAAGGTTTTGATTTATGCCCGGCGATATGGCTGTCAATGTCTCCCAGCTCAGTAATCTGTGTGTTGACTCACCACCCGGAAACTACAACAACATTCAAATTTTTCTGTCATCTTGGTTTGAAAGTAATCTTTCTAATAGATCTCAATATGCAGTTTATAATAATAATTCATGGCGTACCACAAGGTTCAATCCTAGGTACTCTACTGTTTTTAATTTACATAAATGATCTTACACATTCTTCTAAAAACGCCATTGTTACTATTATTTGTGACAAGTTCACAAGCACAAATCGGCGCCTTCAACTGCACCTCGATGTTAAATGAAAGACCTTCCCCACATGGGTTTTCGGCAACAAAACAACAACAAACAAATAACCCTTTTTTTTCCCCAAAAAAAAATAGGGGTGCGCCTTATACACAGGTGCGCCTTATACACAGAGATTTACGGTACAAATAGCTAAAAACTGAATTGAAAAAATTAATAAAAATTTCTGTGCAAACTAAGGTCTTGGGTGGGTCACACTTTGGACAAAGCACCACATTCTTGCTCTGGAAATCTTGGAATATAAATGGTACTTACACTGAACTGATTCTTGTCTCCAAACAGGGACTTGGATCCCTTGGAGTCAATCTCCTCTCGATTCTTCTCGATCCATTCCTGAAGTTTGAAAGGTGCATTTAGCTTCCTCTCCGTATCCAAGGTGACTGGAGGTTTCTCTGGAAGAGTTCCTGTGGGAGAAGACAACAAAGGTTTCAGAGAATTTCTGATTTGGGGACCCTAGAGCAGGGGGGCGTTTCACAAAACTTGTCATCAGTGACAAATGACAGTTTTTGTTTAAGCTACTGAAATCCTTGCTTCTGATTGGTTATCAGCAGATTTGTCACTGATTTTTGTCATTTGTCATTGAAAAAAGGCTTTGTGAAACGGGTCCAAGGAGTTCTTGATGTGTCAAATAGGCTAGAAAATGAATTGAATTACTTCTGGTGCCACAGGCTTTCACCCAGGATATGAATATCATGGATTATTTAGGAGGTGGCTTTAGGTGGTCCATAAACTGCGATTCAAGGACCTAGAACCGGATTCAATTCAATACTAGGATTAAGTCACTACTTTGCTCATCATTTGGCTCAGCTAAGTACAGCAGCTAACTCAGATCACATCAAAGTATTTACTTTATTAAGACAACTTTTTAAGGCAAAATACAAATAATGCAAGCCATTTTCATGTCACATAATCAATATAAAATAATGTGTAATAAGCGCGCATTAATGCACATTAAGTGCAAGCTTATGAAATTTGCTTGGGTACAGCTTATGCCCTGTGTTTGATAAAAAAAAAACTGCATGCTAATCAAGGCTTCCAAAGTAATGGGCTCAAGTCTGCTAGGAAGCTGTCTTAGACTTAGGATAAAATATCCAAAAGATTAAACTTTATACCAAAGTTGGCTTTGGTACAACACATTTTACAATCTTTACCTAACCAGAAAACTAAGTATAATACTCAGATTTCTGACCTGAGTATTACACTGTCATTTTGAAAGTTTAACAGCAACCCTATGAGTAGGCATCATTGCACAATATCTGTGTTGCCTTTGGTTTAGAGGGTGGATTAATAATTAACAGCGCCCCCACTGGCAAGCTGCAAACAGGCCAAATTTTCAGCTCTTAGGTCAACATCTTTCAACCAGTGCAACCAGCAACTTGAAAACAGTAGCCAATGATCCAAGTGAGCAAAGCTATCTGAACTGTGTAAATTTATTCAATGAGATTGATTTTTCTGATATCAGTGCACATTTTTATATTAAATTTTGATGTCAAAACCCACCTATCATTTGATTTTGACTTAAAATTTGGCCTTATTTTGTACAAAAAGCAATATTAATGGACATTTCTAGCCAAAAAAGTGACCAAAATGGCTAAATTGTTGTTGATGGTGGTCAATTTGACCACTTTTTCCAGCATCAGAACACATTTTCTCATAGAATGGGCCCATCAAACCTTCATTGCTAGTAATAACAATTGGAAAAAAATATCCGACCAAACATGACCGGTGGCCAAAAAGTGGATAAAATTACCAAAATGTTGTGAGTAGGGTCTATATTACAGAGGATGTATATTTAAAACTTCACCACCAAATTCTTATTAAATCCCTTTATCGCTAAAGGGATTTAATAAGAATTTTGGTGGTGAAGCTGATACGATGTCAACTTTTCCCATGATGCATCACACAAAATCAAATAAAAAGTGGTGTCGCTAGATGTCGCTGAGGATTGTGAATCCACCGTATCTGTTATTCTCTTGGCTTTTATTGCTTTTCTTGTTCTCTCTAACAGTGCTTACACCAATGCCTACAGCAGAGATCAGCACTACTAAACAGGCCGCTGGGGCATATGGGCGCCCACAATTTAAGTCGGGACTCAAATCTTTCTGAAATGTTAACATAGGAGTCATGTACATAGATACTATAATGGGTGTAGTCGAGACCCATTATTCAACATGATTTTGTGAAGCCTTGCCTACAGAACCAGATGGAGCCTATGGGAATGGGAGAATTAAGTAGTAAACACATTAAAATGTTGTCTTTAAAGCCCCACTGTCCTACTTGCTCCCTCTATATAGAAAACTTCCCCAATCTGTGCCTGTTGGTCCCCCATGATCCTCTATTTATTATGTTATTTGAGAGCTGGGTTGATGAGATAGCCACCTGTCAGTGACCTTGCTGTGTGGTCTAATCCCTCCTAGCCAAACTAGTGCAGATAAACATTAAAGCCCCACTGCACTACTTATAGCTACTTGCACCCTCTAAATAGCAAACAATGCCTTAACGGTGATCATTGGTCTACCATGGTCCTCTTTTTCTTATGTTAATTCAGAGCTGATTTGATGAGATATCCACTTGTCAGTGACCTTGCAGGGAGATCTAATCCCCCCTGGCCAATCTAGTGTAGACAGGCTTTAAGAGTGCAAAGTTCCTAGAAGAATGCCATACATTTACCTTCAATTGGCTTGCCAGTTTTGTGTTGCTCTGAAGCAAAGTAGCGCTTGATGACGGGGGCCAGCTGGATGCCTAGATCCTCACAGTAGAACCACTCCTCGTACAGTCTTTCAAGGGTGCCGTCCACATAGTACCTGCCCAGGAAAGGTCAAAGGTTCAAAGGTTGACTAGGGTGAGGCCATTTTGCAAGAGGGAGGGACGATACTGCCATAACTTTACATATATACAGTCAAAGCTGCTTTAGTGACCACCTGTCTACGAAGACAACCTGTCTTCAAAGGCCACATTTGTTGTTCACCTTGAAAATGGTTTCTCATTGAATCATGTACTAAAGAAACCTGTCTACAAAGACCACCTGTCTATAAAGACCACTTTTTGTAGACAGGTTTGACTGAATACAGTCAAAGCTGTCTAATTTGCCACCTCTCTATACTAAAAAGGGCAGCTGTCTATAGTGGCCATTCATTTCCTCTCACTCGACACAGAAATGTGTAGCGTAGAACCTGTCTACAGTTGCCACTTTCCATGTTTCCCTTGGGTGGCCCTCACAGGCAGGTTTGACTGTATAATTTTAGGTCTGGTCACTGGATTCAATTATGGTATTGAATGACTGACTATCAATCATATTGAAATTGCATTATCCCAAATGGCAAAGATTTTTGTTGGATAATAGTCAATATGGCCACAAGACTGTGCCATCAGACTAATTAATAAATAAATTAATTCATTTATTCAAAATTGCTTTTGATGATTAACTTACTCTGTTCACATTGATGTGTATTTCATATGTATTGTAATTTGTAGGTTTATTTGCACTTTTTTGTTTTGTTTAATATGTTATTGTTAATCATCATATTTTGTTTGTTATAGCGCTTAGAAACTTTGGTGGTAAGTGCTTTATAAACACCGTTTTTATTATTATTATTATTACAGTCAAACCTGCTTTAGTGACCACCTGTCTACAAAGGCCACTTTTTGTGTTTCCCTTTGGCGGTCGCTATAGACAGGTTCAACTGTATTACATTTACATTGAATTTTGGTAGAGATGGACAGCATCAAACATTGAAAGATATATATATATATATATATATATATATATATATTATGTTTCCTTTATTCACCTCAGCCCATCCTTCTCTTCCAGATCGCGCTCTCTCTCTAGCACCAAACCAACAGTGTCTGCTTGCCTCTGAGGAGAATGGGGAATACAACTCGGCAAAAGGAAGATCTGGATCGACAGGGATGATATACAGGAGATTATTAAAGGCATGAGAAGAAATTAAGTACACTGATCCAATTAACATTTGGTGCTTCTCAATCTGATTGTCTGAGAAAGCTTGAGCTTGACTACCGTAAATCTCTGTGTATAAGGTGCACTTTTTTGCCGCCGAAAAAAATTGAAAGTTGGGGGTGCGTTTTATACACAGGTACAAAAAAAAAAAGTATTATGGCGCTATGCCTGGCAATGTCTCCCAGCTCAGTAATCGGTGTGTTGACTTACCACTCGGAAACTAGAACAACACTCAAATTTGTCTGTCATCTTGGTTTGAAAGTAATCTTTCTAATAGATCTCAATTTGTAGTTTATAATAATAATTCCTCCAATTTTGCTTCGGCGTACCACAAGGTTTTATCTTAGGTACTCTACTGTTTTTAATTTACATTAATGATCTTACACATTCTTCTAAAAACGACATTGTTACTTTTATTTGTGACAAGTTCACAAGCACAAATCGGCGCCTTCAACTGCACCTCGATGTTAAATGAAAGTCCTTCCCCGCGTGTGCGCCTTATACACGGAGATTTACGGTAATCAGCACTTTCTCAAGAAAAATAGTCTGAAATTTGAAGTTCTCTTTCTTCATTAGTCATGCAGTCTCCTGCTTATTTCAGTCATTCATGATGTAGCCGGGGGAAAATTGGGCATTCCCCCCCCCCCCCACAAAATGAAATATCTTGTCAAAAGCTCAAAATAGATGGAAAAAAGGGCATCATAATTTCCCCCTCAGGGAAGGATTTCAGGGGAGGGGCCAGGACTGACTTATATGCTCCCTTTTAAAGGTGAAATTCAAAGAAAATCACAAATATGTCAACTAATGTATCACTAGAAACTGGTAAGCTAACAGATGGCCATCGTACAAGTTTTAGGTCAACTACATATAGGGTGATTTATAAAAATACAAATACAACCACCTCCATAGCAGCTGGGATATACGAGAGATTCGCCGGAAAAATAACGATGTTTTAATCACGTCACTATATGGACCAATACTGCCCAAGCAGACGACATCCCATAAAGAATGAACATAATTGCAAAGCTATTATTTGTCAAATTATAATAAGTTTAGTTTATATAAATGTAATGGCATGTCAAACCATTCAAAAGGGGATATGACCCGATTCTGATAATTAAAATCTTTTGCTTGTAAATACACAGGATAGGGGTTAATTAACAATCAAAGAAACCAGACTTACAAATTGAAAAACACCCGGAATGATATTAAGTATAAGAATTTATTGTCCTTTACAGGAAATTTGTTTTCCACTGGTTACAGAGTATTACAATACAAATATATACATGAAATATTACAAGACAGTGATAAACATGAACATTATGATAAGCATACATAAAGAATGAGATAATATGTGAGTAAGCCACTGTATATATGGCAGTATGTTGGTTGAAGAGATAATATCAGATTCCATTTTACAAAATATGAAGCTAAATTATTTAATATTCATTGATTATTCCATATTAAATCTTAAAATGATAATAAATACATGAATTATTATTATTATTATTATTATTATTATTATTATTATTATTATTATTGATTACCATTTTCAATAGTATAATTAATACCGGCATCGTTATTATTGTTAAGTTTATTGATGACACATAAGTTGTAGTTACTGGCTCAAACGTTAGTAAATAGTTGGATGCAGTATTCATGGCATATACATTTATATTGATACATTACATGGTAGGTTCATAGTAATCAAACACGTTTTGCTTTGGAATTGAAAAGATGAATGGAGTCGGGGATAAAGGATCTTCGGAAACGTGCACGTTGGGTTCGTGGTGTGCACAGGCGTATTCCCGGATCTGTTATAATTGAAGTGTTCATTCAGTGGGTGCGAGGGGTCATGCATTATTTGTTTTACTTTAGAAAGGGCATTTTTCTGATACAGATCTTCTATGGATGTTAGATCGGCTCCTGTGATACGTTTTGCTGCCTTTCTGGGACGTTCGAGTAGTTTCTTGGCAGCAATTTTAGCGTTTGCATAATAGCAAATTAGGTTGAAGGTTAGGACACTCTGAATTAGGGACTTAAAGAACAGTTCTATCAACTTACTATCTACTCTTAAGTTTTTCATTACCCTAATAAAGTATAGTCTCTGGTTGGCTTTCTTTTGGATGTCTACAATGTTCTTAGTCCAATCAAGTGACTTTGAGATAGTAGTACCTAAATACCTGTACTCTGTAACTTGTTCTACAGGAGTATCATTTATCAAAATCGGGGTATGATCGAAGGGGTTTCGGCGAAAATCAATTATGATCTCTTTTGTTTTAGTTACGTTTAGTATTAGGAAGTGGTCATTGCACCATTTAACAAACTCATCTATAACCTTAACGTATGGGTCTACATCTTCAGAAAGATAACCTGTGATTACAGTATCATCCGCATATTTGATGATACTGCACTCTCCTACATTACATAGACAGTCACTTGTGTAGAGGGAGAAGAGCGCGGGGGAGATGACACAGCCCTGGGGCGCCCCTGTATTTACAATTCTTGGACAGGATAAGGCGTTACCTAAGACCACTCTCTGTGGTCTGTCACTTAAAAAACTTTGTATCCACAGACTTAACTGGGGAGGGACTTCCATATCAATGAGTTTGTTTATCAGAAGGTGGGGGATAATAGTGTTGAAAGCACTAGAAAAATCCACGAAAGTGGATCTTACATAGGTCTTAGCCTTGTCTAAATGGGCATATACCTTATGTAGGTATGTTAGTACTGCATCATCAACTCCTCTCTTACATCTGTATGCAAACTGCATGGGGTCAATGTAGGGGGAAGTGTATTCAAGAAGGTACTTCATCATGATCTTTTCGAAACATTTCATAACACTACAAGTGAGTGAAATGGGTCGAAGGTCATTAAGTTCCTTCACTTTCTTCCCTTTAGGAATTGGTTTTATCAGGGATGTTTTCCAAAGAGTCGGGATATGTCCCCTTTCCAGTGAATGGTTGAAAAGTTCATTAAATACCCCGGCTAACTGATCCCTACAAAGCTTGAGTACTTTGTTACAGATACCGTCAGGCCCTGGGGCTTTATTAGTTTTAAGTGCCCCAAAACATCGCCTAACATCATGTTCAGAGATACAAATTACATTTTCAGATTCACTTAACATTTGCCTTAGTCTGAGTGCAATTACGTCATTTTCAACTGTAAACTTTTTATCATATCTACAATAGAAGTCATTCAGTTCATTGACAAAGTCCTGTGTTATGTCAAATCCCAGAGTCTTGGGCTTTGGTTTATACCCAGTAATCACCTCCATCGTTTTCCAGGCAGCAGCAGGTTTGTTATTTCGAAAGTTATTTTCGAGCTTGTTTTTATAAGACATTTTACAAGAGTCAACTAAGCGTTTAATTTCCCTTTGTACCTCTTTGACACGCGTCTTGTTACCATTGATGAGTGCACCATTCTTTACCTTCAGCAGGTCCCGGAGTTCCTTTGTAACCCATGGCTTATTGTTGGGAAACATTTTAAACGTTTTAAGGGGTATAATCGAGTCGACAGAAAACTTGACATAACTTGTGATAGCATCAGTGGCTTCGTCTAGTGAGCTCGCTGAGTTGAACAATAGATCCCAGTCCGTACAGTCAAAGGCTGCTCGGAGTTCCTCCGTTGAGTCATCAGTCCACGCGTACCGTTGCTTAGTGACGGGCCGGCTTCTTTTCAACTTTTGCTTGTAAGCCGGTAGTAAGCAGATGTTTTGGTGATCGGACTTTCCTAGACGATGACACGGTTTTCCAACGTATGCTTTAGGAATGTTACCATAGCACTTATCTAGGGTAGCTCCATTTCTTGTTGGTATGTCAATATATTGTTCAAACGTGGGAAGTACACCATTCAAGTGACATTGGTTAAAGTCACCCATTATGAATGTAGGGGCATCAGGGGACAACGAAGCATGATGATTTACTTTAGCAGCTAGTAATTCACTGGCAATTTCAACATCAGCACGGGGGTGAATGTAGACCACAGTAATGAATATCTGGAGAAATTCACGGGGAAGATAGAAAGGTCGGAGTCCCACTGTAATGAGTTCAATATCGGGCAGACAAACGACATCCTTGACATCCCAATTATTACACCACTTTTGGTTGATATATAGACATACGCCTCCTCCTTTGCTTTTCCCTGACTGTTCTGTTCTGTCTCCTCTTACTACATCAAAATGTGGAATATCAATAACATTGTCGGGAATGCTTTCTTTCAACCATGTTTCTGTAAATGCCAATAGACAAGAATCTCGGTATTCGTTCATGTATCTAGAAAGTGTTTCAAGTTCTTCCATCTTATTAGGCAACGAGCGTACATTCCCCAATATTATTGAAGGGAGGGCCGGTTTTGTTCCTCTCTTTCTCAGCCTTGTCCTTATTCCGCCCCTCTTACCTCTCTTACGTGGTTTGATCTCGGGTGGAAAGTCCTCATATCCGAGGGGTCGGGCATCCCCCGTGGCGCCGCGTAGGTTGAGTATCTCAGTCCGTGTGTATACAAGGCTATTCAGTTGGTGTTCGACTTTCAGGGCAGAACCAGTCAAAAACACCGATGCGAGGATCAAAAATATCCAAAAGGTAGCCATGGCTAATCTCACAGTTATGGAAAACATGATGAAGGTCAAAGTGCACTCACAAAATAAGACAAAATAGTAACAAATAATCCAAAAGATGGGGAGAACAAATCCAGTGGTGGTCGCCACTGAGCGGCGCCCTTTGTTCCCTCTTGAAACGCCAAACATACTGCGGTGTGTGCAGCTGAATATACAATGGCGTCTTATTTTGTTTACAAGCGACAGATTCCTTTATTTTTGTATCGCTGCATTTGTCATCAAAATAAAACCATGCGCGGGTTTAGAGTGAGATGAGTGAGAAGATGAAAACACAGGCACTGAAAATGTGTGAGATGTCATCGGACATCGTCTGCTTGTGCAAGTCATGTCCATACTGTGATCTCACACATCTCAGCAGCCTTCGGAGAGCTCTTCAGGTGCTATGCCGGGGCTGTATTTAAGCGTTTTGTAATTTATAATAATCAGTACTTCGAATGTTTCCAAGCATTGAATTTTGATAACCTTGTCGAATCAAAGTTTAAACTTTGTAATAATGAAAATAAAGTTAGTTTTTAAAATCAATGAATATCTACTTTAAAACCAAGTTTGGCATACCTTCAGTACATAAACATCTGGAGGATGTAGGCCCCTATCAAACACGAGACCCCAAAATGCACACCCCCTCCCCTCCCATGGAATACTATTTTTATTAATTTAATTATCAATTTTTTTTTCAGAATTGTGACCCCCCCCCCCCCTCTTACAGAAGCCTGGATCTACCCTGCCCTATGTGACTGCATCATGGCTACAAAATGTCAGTGACAACATAATAAAAAGGGGGAAAACAAACAATAAGAGCCACTCCAACTAACTATCCTCTCCAACCGGCGCTATGAATGAATGAATGAATGAATGGTGGTTATTTTACCTGACTGCTAAGAAAGCATAAATCCTTGTAAGTAAGCAACCAGACGTCCGACGGCTTTACAGTGTAGGTCCTCTCCGAGGGACCTTGTAATGAGGATTAATGCCTTACCAAAGGGCACTAGCACATCGCCTTGGTTTCAAACCCGGGTCACCGGATTGTAAGATCACTGCTCTACTGACTGAGCTATCGCACCTCCTCTATAGAAAGCTATAGTTCTCCTTAGAACTATAAGCTAAGAAAGATAACCAACAGTCTTTTTCAAGACTACTAACAGTCCTTCCAGGACTACACACACTCAAGAAAGAAAGATTATTGAGAGTCTTTTCCAGGTCTTCCCAATCCTCCCCCCCCCCCCCCCCTCTCTCACATGGTGCAACTGCTAGCCTACTGTATAAGAAAATAAATGTTACCCTACTACTTTGAATATTGAATGTGCCTACTTTCTCCTACCTCTCCTTCTTTGATGTGGATATCTCTATGTTTGTTCTGCTCCACGACCTTGAGGCACATGTCGCCTTTTTTCATGTAAAAAAGCTGGGGGGGAAAAAAAGGTTGAACAGAAAAGTTTCAATGATTTCATCCTTACTGTGTCTTTGTCACCAAATTTCCAAACATATATCATAAGTAACAGATTCTGATAAATTTTTCAATCATAATGCTCAATGTTATTGTTTATATCATTTGCCACAATCATTGTTCCATGATAATGATGATACGATCTTATTTTATTAATAATCAGTTGTGATTTATTGCAACTATGTACAGATCGGAGACTGTAAACTGGCGATTGATTGGAGGACTTGGAATTGATTGAGATCAATCGCAACTCTTTTGAAATACAACAACAAAGCAATCAAATACTTTTCTGTCCCAAAATACAGTGTATGTAAACTGATCAGAGCACTTAAAGTTTATGGAGAAACACTCGGTGAATGCAAATTGCATAAAGCTATCACAGATAACAGGAGACAACAATGTCAATGATATTAATTCTACAATGTAGATAGTGAAATACTTTAGTCTGACATATTTATCCTTTTCTTCCTGTCACCAAACATTCTAATTGGAATAAAATAATCAGGATAAATTGACTCTACAGCAAATACAATGTTTGACAGTAGATAGTGACCTTCCTCCCACACTGCGCAGATACCATATTTGGAAAGACATTAAGACAAAGTTTCTCCTATAGAATGTACAGCAGTGTCAATTAATTCCTTAGTTTACTAAACTATTGTTCCCTGAAAATTTGATGAAATCTTTATGTAGACACCATCATAATCTTTTACCTTTAGTTTATTGATTCTGAAACTATAATTTTCTATTGGGCTATCAAGTTACCGACCCTTTGTATTTGTATGGGAAACTTTGTATAGAAGTGCCTTTACCAAATATACCCGTGGCTGGTGCTGCCCTCTATTGCCAAATACCGAAGTTGCGGTAGCGAGAATTCACAGCATGCAATACATGCTTAAAGTTACAATATTCCAAGAAGTGGTGTTTCTTTAAAAGCCTACCTCCTCTCCTTCCTCTATGTGATAATCCTTCCTGACATTTGGACCTCCAACAAAGAAAGCTTTCATCTGCCCTTCACTGTACCTGCCATTCCAACAAACATAAACAATACCATGAATAGTATAATAGTATACATTTACAAGAACAGCATTGATGACGATGATGATAATGATGAAGATGATATTGAACTTGAAGATGATAAAGATGTTGATGATGATGATTATTAGTGGTTGTCATCACCTGCAGGAACTTGATCAATGTAACCCTTGGGTCTCTCCTTCTAGTTTAACTGATTGGGGGTGTGCCACTGGACCACTACACCAGGGTTTCCCCCTCCTCTTATAGTGCAGTGGGTTCTTAACGTGCAAAGGTAGTGACTCTCCTCTACACGGCCTCCATTTAACGTCATAACCGAGGGATGGATGTTTTCCACTTAACATAGCCTGCATTTATGAAACAGTCGCTAACACACAACGCAGGCTTCAGTCATCCACCTGGGTTGGTGATGATGATGATGATGATAATGATGATGATGAAAAGCTTTAATCTGCATCTCTTTTATCTGAAACACAAAACCTGTGATTCAAACATAGGATCTATTAACACATTGTCATTGGCGTCAAAATAATAGCAAAATTATTGGCGATAATGATGATGACTGTGGTGATGAATACCTTTGATGTTGGGAACTTCAACTAAGCATTGATGGTTATCTGCCATTGGGACCTCCTGCATAGCAAGTTTTAATTAGTCAATTAATATAATAAGTAATACAAACGAAATTTAGCCTGGCCAGGGCCCAGACTTGCCAACGTGCAGCAGATATGCCAGAAACTCGGGAGTCCGCGATGCATGCATGCAGACACTCGACTCCCGAGCAGACGGCGGCGCGGGCAGCACAAGCACAAGTTGCGGTGAACAACTGCGGGCTGAAAGTTGAAGGTGAAACCTCTGGCCCGGCCCTGTCGATTTAGTTGAACAAATGTTTGAAATATGTACGAACTTACATCATTTTGTTGCACACAGGTGGGAGGAAAAACTTCTTGTTCTCCTCAATCCACTCATCTATGTTTGTAATGTCAATATGATTCGCAGACATTATTATATCTTTAGTAGATAGATATCTATTTGTCGAAGATCATGAAAATGTAACGTAACTTTGCACGCGCGCGCTGTACTGTATATACTTTTCTCCGCATTTGTTTGATTAGCCTAATTACGAGTATTTAGGGATTGTTGTCCATGCGGACAATTCCTACTTTACCTTCAAAACTGAATTGGAAAAAATTCCAAATTTTAAAAAAATTAGGACATTTTTATTTTTATCTATTTTTTGTTCAAAAATATGTATTTGATGTGCTATATTGTTGTACTAAAACATATTTTTGCCCTTTTTTCAGGCTAGCACTAACCAAACTTTAGCCCAACCCTTGACACACCCACTATTATACCGAATAGAAGCTGTGCCATCCTAAAAATATATTTTTAGAATTTCTCAATTTTAACTTCGATTTCCGAAAGAGCATCAAAAATAATGTCCAAGTGACGAAACCGATTGAATTTATATTGGCTGAGAGATGACCATCTGAATAAATAGAGTTCAATGGGAAAATCACTGTTATTTTGCTCTGGTTTACGTACCGTGCAGAGCAAAATAACATTACGAACCAGAGCAAAATAACAATGCTTTTAGAGCCCCTGGTGGGGTTTAGGGGAAGGAGCTCCCGCAAGTTCAGGGTTCTTAGGCATTTAATTAAGGTCAGATGAGCATATTTTGATACCTCATTATTTTGTGACACTAGCAGGTCACCTTTCTTGATTCTTTCTGACATGTTTTTTCTAAAAATGTGGGAGGGGTCAGGGGAGCTCGAGTCCTTGCATGTAAGCTTCTAAATTAGCATATTTTTTCATGACTGGAAATTTGGGAATTTTTCACTTTCCAACAAACGCATAAAAAAAAGTATAATTTACAAAAAAGTGAGAAAATTCCCGGAAAATCATGTCATTTCACCAACATTTTGTAAATCACTGGTATCAAATTAGAAATAAACCACGTTTGCATTTTATTTGGGGGTCAACTGCCCCTAAGCCCCCCCCCCCCCCCCATCACTCATACGCCAGCGCGGCTCCCCTGGATCCGCCACTGACTTATACTTAGTGTAGCCTACGGAGCTCTCAAAAGCATTTTCCAAAGTTGCGAGGAGCACCCTCCATCCTTTGTCTGAATCAATATTGAAGAAGAAAAAACTTTACTAGCCAAAAGGGGGTAATTTTCTCCTGCCCCGTGTGGCAAATCTGGGAGGGGCGGTATATACATTTTGTAAAAAGGTTCGTTATTCCCCAAGATTTGGGATGTCTGTAGCATTGTTTTATTGTATTATTCAGTACAAAATATATAAAAAACAAACAAACATACAGCTTCATTGATTTACATAACATATATTAATCAAAATATAAAGAAAATTGTACATCTCTCAAAAAATACATAAGATAGTTTAATACACAGTACATAATGTTTTAAAATTAATTATACTAAACGAATGTTATAAATCAAAGAGTTACGCACAGACAGACAGACACACCACACACGCTCACATAATCAGACACACATACAAACTTACATATCCCCCTCCCCCTTTATTCCAAAGCTCAACAAATCCCCCCTCTCTTCCCGAGCATTCACATCTACACATTTGTTGGAAATCCTGTCTCTTCCTTTTTTATGCGAGGGGGTTTAGCGATCGACAGAGTGATAATTCATTGTGCTGTGAAATTATTGTCATATTGTTTGGGGGTTTTCCGAATCTATTATTAAATTTTGTATCTATTTATTTACAAAAGATTCTAGCACAAGGGGCCTTATACATGCACGACTATTTTGTTTATTTTTTTTCAAATATGAGAAACACAAACATATTACTAGTAAGCTGCACATGATGATTGTTATAGTAATCTAGAGTTTTCCTCTGGAGTCTTATATGGTACTTTGTCATTGCTTACCAAATAGAAACTCGGGCACTGCGTTGCCCAAATAGTGAGGATCCAGGCACCTCGCTGCCAGTTCATGAGGCGATTACAAAACCCTGGGGTAAGAAGCCCTTAGCCCCATCCCCCACCCCTCCGCCCCGGCCCCCCACTCAGTGTTATTTAGGGTACGCATATGCTTGTTCCCTCTTTTTGAAAGCACAAAATCTGAGGACTGCCAACATTTCCGAACCCCCCGGTTTCGCGGGCTTTTCCTGCCTTGATAGACCCCCCTTAATCATGAAAAATGCTCAATGTACCCCCCTAAATTCGGAATAATTTCTCAGGAGCCCAAAGAGATGAGAGAAAAAAAAAGAAAAAAGAAAAAACACCCCCTTTTTAAAGAAATCTCCGGTCGAAAAGTTAATACACCCCTTTTTTTCACAATTCTCGAGCCGTTCTCTGAGTGGAGGGGGGGGCGGGCTGCCGCCCCTTTATACGCCTGTGTTTGATGACTTGATTCTCCTTATTCTTGCCATATCTAAATTGCAACTTTCTCTCACACCCAAATAGTAGAGAATTAATTATTATTATTATCTACCTTTTATCGTTTCTTCTTCGAGTTATCTTTCTTTATATACCTTCACTCTTACCAAAATTAAAAAAGAAAAACATAACATGGATATTTTTTGTCTGCCCTTTGCTTTAATATGCAATTTATGTTACGTGGAGTGCAAACCGAGAATCAGTAGATTTCGCATTCTGACATGAAAAGAAGATAAAACGAAAAGGTTGTTGTACAAAGGTCAAAATGAGATAATGCAGACGTAAATAATCATATCTGATTGATACACGTCTGTAAAAACCAATACACACACACACACACACACACACACACAGAACAAAATCTAATGTTGAATAGCGCTGTTCACACACACTACAAACCCATTGAATAATTTGCCTCGTTGCGCATATCAGACGAGGTGGCCGAGTGGTTAAGGCGATGGACTGCTAATCCATTGTGCTCTGCACGCGTGGGTTCGAATCCCATCCTCGTCGTCAGATTTTTGCGTGTCCATTTTGTATTTTATATATTTTTTGTGTGGTTCATCTAATATTTTTTTGGTAAAAGAATAGTTTCTCTCTCTTTTTCTCTCTCTTTTTTTCTCTTGTTTTCAACAGAAGCTTATAAGTAATTTGCATATATTACATTGAATTAGGAAAAGACCACGAGCATACAGGATGTAGTAGCGATGGTGGTCGTGGGGACAGAACTGATGGATCTAAAATGTTCAAGTATCAGTTTAGGTTGTTCCATTCATAAATATCAATAATAAACAAGTCAATAAAAACAAACAAACAAACACAATAGCCACAGAGTAACTCAATTAATAAACACGTTCACAATTGTCACCTCTATAGAATCTGCCTATAAATCTACACACAATTAGAGAAGTATATGAAAAAGTAAGTGGAACTCCTAATGTAAAATAATCACAATAGTTGTAACAACATAAACGTTTCTTGAGAAAATTGCAATATAGGCAGATTTAGAAACTATTGAGATGCTAAAATTTAAACAGTAGCAAATATCTCTTGTATTTCATAATAATAATGAGAACGTTTGTTATTGGGAGAAAAGGTCAAAAATAAGAGAGAGAGAGATAGAGAGAGAGAGAGAGAGAGAGAGTGTGTGTGTGTGTGTGTGTAAGATAGAGAGAGATCTGAGAGAGAGAGAGAGAGAGAGAGAGAGAGTGTGTGTGTGTGTGTGTGTGTGTGTGTGTGTAAGATAGAGAGAGATCTGAGAGAGAGAGAGAGAGAGAGAGAGTGTGTGTGTGTGTGTGTGTGTAAGATAGAGAGAGATCTGAGAGAGAGAGAGAGAGAGAGAGTGTGTGTGTGGGTGCTCTCATCTCAGCATTCTTGTGGGGTTTTATGTGCGCTTCACATACCCCTTGTGAGGCATTTTTACTTTGTGGGGTATTTTTTCAGGACCCCACAGAGTAAAGTCTTTCAAATGACTGTATATTCGGTGTCCTATGCCCTGCGGGGCATTAGAAGTGGTACCCCATAAATGACTTTTTGTGAGCGTGTGCTAAAACTTGCACACTTTTTTATGGTAACATCGTAAGCACACCGCCGGGTTGTTATCGCCAGGTTGTACATACCCCACTAGTAGGGGACCACAAGGTATATCTGGAACGCACAGAAATACCCCACAATCAGGTGCCCCACAAAGGGCCTGATGTGGGAATGTGTGTGCGTGTGTGTGTGTGTGTGTGCTCTCATCTCAGCATTCTTGTGGGGTTTTATGTGCGCTTCACATACCCCTTGTGAGGCATTTTTACTTTGTGGGGTATTTTTTCAGGACCCCACAGAGTAAAGTCTTTCAAATGGCTGTATATTCGGTGTCCTATGCCCTGCGGGGCATTAGAAGTGGTACCCCATAAATGACTTTTTGTGAGCGTGTGCTAAAACTTGCACACTTTTTTATGGTAACATCGTAAGCACACCGCCGGGTTGTTATCGCCAGGTTGTACATACCCCACTAGTAGGGGACCACAAGGTATATCTGGAACGCACAGAAATACCCCACAATCAGGTGCCCCACAAAGGCCCTGATGTGAGAATGCGTGTGTGTGTGTGTGTGTAAGATAGAGAGAGATCTGAGAGAGAGAGAGAGAGAGAGAGAGAGTGTGTGTGTGTGTGTGTGTGTAAGATAGAGAGAGATCTGAGATAGAGAGAGAGAGAGAGAGAGAGAGAGTGTGTGTGTAAGATAGAGAGAGATCTGAGAGAGAGAGAGAGAGAGAAGATAAAAGAAAAGAGAGAGGAAAAACATTGTGACTTTGGCATCATATTCAAGGTCGTAGGACAGCCCCCTCCAATACCTAGACCCAGGTACATCACTGTATACGTTTAAGCATAATATTCCTCTTCCCTGTTATTGATGGAAATAAGAAGAAGATCTCTTTAAAATAAAATATATATTAACCCACAAACGTGCATCGATCGTGCGCTCCAGTGTATGTGGTATGTGACTTCCCGTGGAATAAAGAAGACAATGGCAACATAAATAATGGAACGATAGCAAATCCCTTTACTTGTTTACAACCAAGGCTGCAGTTTGCAGGCAGTTTGCAGTGTCTGACGAGGTCAAAGCGTGGAATGTATAATATTGTCTCTTACTAGTCCTATCAGTGGCGGATCCAGGGGGG